AAAAAAGTTTAGTTAAGTTATAATTTCTCTAGTTTCTTTGATGAATAAAAATAATGTCCTTTATGACTGAGTATTCAATAAATGTTCGCCTTTAAAAAAAAAAATTCCCTGGGTGCACACCCTAATGAAATGTGCCGCGCACGCCTACGGTTAGTAGTTGATGGAATTTTCATCGACTACTCGACTAGTCAATAGGCACTTCCGCATTCCTCCTTTGAAATATACAAGAGCCCATTGATGAAAGCTCATCAATGACTCTCAGCTCCATGGCTTTGAAATGCACAAAAGCCTGTGCTGGGGCTCTTGTACATTTCAAAGGAGGAATGCGGAACTCTGCTGACTTTGGGCTGCATGTGGGTGCCTGCTTTGAAATGTACACGAGTCCCCAGCACAGGCTTTTGTGCATTTCAAAGCCATGGAGCTGAGAGTCATTGATGAGCTTTCATCAATGGGCTCTTGTATATTTCAAAGGAGGAATGCGGAAGTGCCTATTGACTAGTCGAGTAGTCGATGAAAATTCCATCAACTACTTGTCTAGTCAATTAACTGCATTTTAACCTCCCTAACTGAGGGTTCCCTTGGAGTAGAGGCTGGAAAACCCAAGCAAAAAGGCCAAGGTGATGCTGAGCCCGTCGCTACTGAGGAGTGGTCAATGCCAAGCTTTCCTTGAGGCAAAGAGCAATGACAGAAAGACTGCCCGTGGGACCAAGACTATACTCAGCACCTAAAGGCTGCACAGTGTTACCTTGTCAACCTGCATTGGGACTGAGGTCACGATATGCATCAGGAGTGAGACTGGCAAGGAGTGTGGGACTGGCTCCGAGGCATGCTCCCCCACAATGTGGAGCAGGACCAAGGTGGGGCTGCACATTCCAGGGAACCATTGTGCTCTGGAGATGGGTCCCAAGAGGGTCAAGACAAAGTGAACTGTGGTGCGGAGAGCCTCTTTGGTGCCAGACGGTATGGGAATGTCAGGAGCGATGAGACAACTCTGAGTTTGACCAGGATCTGCTTGCCATGGAGGCTCTTGAGTGGGAATGGCTCTAAGAGGACGAGCTATGATATTGGTGCCACGATTCAGACCAATACCATGACTCAGAGCGACGATTCTCAGCTGAACGGTGTTAGGACTTCAAGCGAAAGGACACTGAGGCCTGAGCCAATGGGCCTAGCATGAAGTGTGGCGGCGAGTGGGAGGATTGTCCTTGGAAGGAGACCGAGTCATCTCAATGAAAACCCTGTAGCTTCATGTGTGTCCGGCATGGAGAACGGCCCAACCTACATTACTTCCACTTGTGGAGAGTCCAGGATGATGGGCTTCTGGGTATGAGCAGAAATCAGCAGCTCCATGCTGTGGGGCCAAAGATTATAGAGATCCACTGGCACTGAAGGCATGGTGGCCAACAGTGTCGCTGACAACAAGGAGGAGAGCTTGGCTGCCTTCGAAGGCTATACCAAAGAGTAGGACCAGTGCCAGGAATCCTTTTTTGATTCTGGGCCCAGAACCGAAGGTGGTGTGCTACGCACCAAGGCACTCAGTGCTATGTTGGGTCTTTGCAGCCACAAAATAATGTCTGTTTTATGTGCTTAAGTGCTGATCTGAGCATATAATTGTAGAATTTAGAGCCAGTATATGAAAATTAGACTCTGAACTGGATGCTAAAAACTAACAACACATTTAAAAATTAGAAGCCTATTGATGTATTTGGAACAGAGAGATATCACATTTATCTTTAAATAATTGTCTGAAATTTTGTATTCAATATTCTTACTTTATACTAGAATAAAGAAGAATTATTTACTTAACGTTTCCCTTAACCTAGTTATCTGATACATTTAATATAAATATTGGTAGTTACTGATGTTTACAATTTGAGATCAATCTATAAATTAATATGTATTTACAATCTCTAAATCTAGCTATATCTATCCACTTACTAGGCTCTAGGTTCTTAGGCAGTCCTCATCAACAGTGCCTTTAACTCTAATTCAATTAAGAAGTCTGAGCCTTTGGCCTCTTATTTTGGGTACTATAACGTCTCTCTTCTCCAGCAACTCCCCACTTCCAGCTCTACAGCTTCCCCCCTGTTTGGCTGCTTAACTTACATTACTCTCATGCATTTATGACCACATCAAATTCTCTCTGAATCACTCCATGGGCTTCCTTAGTCACTACTACAAATTCAAGTAGTTTGCTTTCAAGACTCAGTGCTACATTGCTCCAAGTTTCTTTCTAGACCCCATCTCTAATCCCTATTGTTCCCGCTCTGCTCTTTACTCGTTCAAGGTTGGAATGACTTGCCTACTGAATGTCCTCTCTCCCTTCCTCCTCCACATGCTTCTTTAAAATCAGTTTCTTCTGGAAATCTTTCCTATCTTGTTCTGCTGTCCAGTCTCTTCACACCCACGTGCACCTGCACTATTGTCCTATTGATTTGCAATTTTTGCTATGTCTTTCTCAGTGTTCCTGGCCTGGGAACTTTTCTAATGTAGTTTGTATACTACTGTATATATTTATGACACATTATAAAAAAACCTGTAATAACGTACAAGACAGTAATGCTTCATTTTTGTTATGGAGTTTCATGCAAAATAATTTAATGTAAATATTATTAGATAAAACTAGTTTTGCATTTGAGCTGCAGTATTAAAGACTCACATTTAATCAAGGTTGAAAAAAGTTAAAAAATATCCTCTGAGGCCAGGGTCAGGAATGGAAACTTTCAGCCTACATTTTAGGTATTATTTCTAATCTAATATTTCTATCTATGAACTGACCCTGCAAGTTCATATGCATGGGCATACTCCTGCATCCACATGGAGCTTTGTCAATATTAATGGCTCCAATCGCATATATGAGCTTTCAGCACTAGGAGCTATGCGGTTTTATATTGTGTTCACTGTTGCAGTATCCAAGTGCTACAATCATGGATGCAATAACCATCCAACCAAACCCAACCAATTTCCCCACATACTCACAAAAGATGTGCATGCATCTTGAATGGAAATTCAACATTTACAGTAACACAGATAGCATGACATTAGAAAGAAACCACAAAGCATATGCTACAGTAGACCATATTAGTTATTTTATATATACATACACTAAACATGTCATGATGTACCTTATATTTACATATTTGGTATAGCATGACATGTTTAGTATTTAAAGCTCTAAACTGCCCAGGAAACTAAGGGCAAATGGATATTTGTGCTTTAAGTATACTAAGTAATTTTGCATAATATTTCAAATAAAATATATAACAGTATAAAGTGGTCTGTGCCATATAGCAGGTTTGGCAGAAGGATTTTTCACATTTATATGAAGTACAGTTTGATGGTGTTTTGTGCTTACTGGCTTCTGCAAGTTTATGATCAACAATCAGGATTAATTTTTGTGATAACTCTGTATTCAAAACTGACAAAAAGTAGACTAAACCTGATGGCTGTAAAGTTCAGTAATAAGATCAAAAAAAAATCAGGGGCAAGATGTTTCACCATCTGATTTCTTCTGAAATAGAAGGTGATCTTTCTTCTTCCCTTAACTCATACTTTATGCCTGGATATTGCAGCTAATATACCTCTACACAAACTTTCTGAGCATCAATAATTAAACTAGGCTCAAACACAGAGAAAGAGTATCCTTGTCCTGATTTCCCATTCTTACCCACAAGTTCTCCTGTTTTTGCAAGCTTGCATGAATTTCAAACTTATTTTAGCCTGTCAAGTAATAATTTTGTATTTTATTAATTTTTTAAATTAGATTTGATGGTGTCTGATTCATACTGCTATTAATCCTTACAAAACCATAGGAAAATCTGCTTTTCCTGTCAGAAAGCTTTGTATTTTCAATATTCATTTATAGTAGAAAGCTAATGAGATTCTGAAATCCAAGTCTTGCTTTTAGTGTGTAAATGTGCTGCAATATTAGCGAGGATATGATTTCTCTCACTTTGGCCTTTTGATGAAACACCTTTGCAATACTAGTATGTCACCTTATCCTACAATTTCACACATCAACTGCCATGGTATCTGCCCCAAGAGCCCAGTTTCACATTGCACTAATGAGTCAACACCTGTTAGAGTGGAGAAATCTGAACCTTGTTAGCAACTGTGTATTCTCCTGGGAACTTGGATGTTGAGCATTGTCATACTCACCTCCAACATGTCTGTACTAAGGACTCTCGCTGCAGCTGTGATGAAGTCTCCTATTAGCATTGTAAAACCAGGTAAACCCAAGAAGAAAAAGCAAGATGGGCAGTGTTTTATGACAGTATTTAAAATATCCTGAAAAGAAGGAAATATTATTTCTTAATTTTTATAGAAAAATGTTTGAAAATATTTAATAAAAACACACCCACCCACCTAAACACTGATATGGTTTACTAGTCTATCCTAGAGGCGTATATCTACTAGGAATGGCTTCCAATTTAAGTAACATTTCAATTCTTACACCCTTTGAGAAAAAAAGAGGGGTTTCTTTACTTAGAAACATATTGAAAATGAAACAACTGTTACATGATTTTTATGTTTCTCAAAAAATGTATTAAAATATTCATCAGGTTATGATAAACTCACATTTTATCAGAAATAAGATATAGCCACAAAATCATTTTATTCAGGCTTCCATGACTATGTAACATTCATGAAATTACACTAGCTATTGTCCTCGCTTTTGATCGTTCAAGGCAATAACCTACAGCCATTATTAACACTTCAGTAATAATTTCTTTACAGGAACACACAGATGTCAAAACAAAAAATACCTGGGCATAGTGAAGAGAAAGAGAGGAACTGAGAAATCTTTGTTAACGTCTACCAGAAATCACATCCTCTACACCTTTTACCATAACCAATGTGACAGGGGTAAACATTTTTAATTAATTATTTCATTTTCTAAATGGAAGTCTGCATTAAGTTTAAACGGGTATAATGCTATCAAAAGCTTTGTTCCCACAATTTGGTGCCACACATTATACACACACACACTTTCTCAGAATGAGAATTTTTTCATCCGTTTTCCCTCTGCTCCATTTCTTTACTTGCTGCCATCAATGACAAATGATCCCAACAATATTTGAATTGAATTTCCAAATCTCCATTTGAGTTGGTACAAAACTGGACACAAAATTTGTATAAACACTAACTGCAATTATTACTTTTGAAGAAGAAAGAGTTGGTTGATTTCTGCAGAAGTTCAAAACCATTCTTATTCCTACTAAAAGATTAAAGACAACTTATGGCAGAAAATATTAGGCTCTCTCCTTTCCTCACAACTTTTTTTCCTTGCACTAAGGAAGGCCTGAACTTATTTTAAATTAAAAAATATTTGCCCTGATTTTTTCAATTAGAAATTAAAAAGTTTTGTCTACCCTTAAATAGTTCATCAGCAGATACAAAGCTAGTAAGAATCTGACAGGTATCACAGGTATCAAGGAAATAAAACTTGATTGACGGAATAAAACTTTTTAAACCTTTGTTTTTATAATGTCACTTATTTAAACTAAAATAGTTGATAAAAACTCTGTTAATTATTCAACATTTCCATCCTTGTAATTAAAACCTGTTATCCTAAAAAACAATGGAGACCAGATTTGACATTTCTGAGATATGTACATTAAAAAAGCAAGTCTTCTTTCATACACATCTTACTATATATTTTAAAAATGTTCATGTCTGTCTGTGAGTCTGTTTGTTCAAGAACTCCTCCTAAACAGTAAGAGCTAGGACCACCACATTTGATATGCAGTTTCCTATCATCATAACGTAAAGCAAGCCAGGGGTTTGGTTGTGCAAGGACAATGGGATGTATCTGGAATTCTATTCTCTCTTATAAAATGAAAAGGAAGGGGTCTGTTAGGAGGGAGTTATACTCCAGAATGACCTCAGCGGGGCATCAAAGGACCAGAGATGGGGGATCAGAACAGCTATAACCCCATTGGGCCAACAGTAGGCAGAGGTAGAGAAAGGGACATTACTATATATTTCAGAGAGTTTGTCTGTTTGTCTCCCACCTGGGGGACATGCCCCTCTGCCTGAGCTGTGCCCACTGCAAAGGCCATGGACATGTGCTTCTCATCTGGCCCGAAGCTGCTGCAGTGAGAGGGGGCTAGAGCTGTCCTCTTTCCCCAGGATAGCCTGCATACAGAACCCCTCATCTCCAGCCCCAGAACAATGATTTAAATGAAGAAAAGCAAAATTTATTTGAATTAAGGACTTGAGCAATGCTCAAGTAAATCATCTAATCATAACAAAACAAAAGAACATAAACTCAGTCTTTTTCCCCCCTTGCAGACTATCCTTTTAACTTATATCAGTAACTGGAAAAAAACTATGTAAGTTTGAGCAGAATCCATTTATTCTTTCTCCTTTACAATATTTACAGTAGCATACTGTGAAATGATAAAGCGGCTTGTAAATTATGAAATTAAAACAGATCATTTTTAATTTTGGCATTGCAGAAGATAGTGTTTTCCCGTCTCTGAATGACCACAATGCCACTCAAGTTAATGTTTAAACTAGTTTTAATCACTTCCTTTGATACATTTTAAAGTCAATATCAGTCAATGCAAACATTCTAAAAGACTGAGCAGATGGATGCTGCAGCTCATAAGGTGGGTGGTAAACTCATGCTCTGAGGGCAGAACAAAAGAGCCACCTTTTTTCATAATTAAGGGGTTGATTAATGCATTGCACTCCTCACAACACACCTGTAATTGCTAACAGAGGTAGGTATTGTACTGTGCTCTGACTCTGAATATCAGGCATCAAGCTATACAGCAGCAGATGGGAGTACGTTTCTGCTGACATATGCTACAATAAAAAAATGCATGAAAACCTGGCTTAAAAGGTGACAGAATGTAGCACTTTTGACGATTAACACCACAAACAACTGCATTAACTTTGTCCTGTTCTCATTAATTCCATCTGTTCAAGTTAGATATTAAACTAAATCTTCAGTTTTCTTTTTGAAATCTTTCATATTTGGCTGTAGAAACTACTGGGGGCTGGAGCCAAACGGTCTGTGAGGCCTCATGGGGAGGCTCCAAAGATTCAATAGACACCCAATCTTTTGAGAATTTATGAAAGCTGAACGTGAACCTTTAGAAGTATCATCCTTTAATGCTAGGATGGTGTTGATTAGGTTAAGAAAATATTGCACACATTATTATAAAGCTTTAACTTTGGTCTTTTCACATCACCCTTTGTAAATAGGCAAAGGGAGTAAAGAATATAAAAGAAAGACAAAGTTTCAGGTATGAGAATATAGTTGCAATATTAAACAAGATGATGCAACTTTTAACACCTGATGTCTTCACGGTGCATTTAATAAACAGTGAAAGAATTTAGCTACTGATACCATAATGTTTGCTAGTGAAGAAACATGGTAAAGCACCTTTTACTAATTAAAAAAATATTTTTTTCAAAATAAGTTAAAACTTTGTCTATAAACTTTGTTTTGAAAAACTACTGTAATATGATTCTCCGCTTCTCTTTTTCACAATTCACACCTTTAGGATTTGCAGTTTCACAACACAAGTCATGCTAGTGGGTGATGTGGCAGGCTCACAACTATTGGCACCAAAGTTATTTATGTGCAATTGAATAAAAAAATCTGTTTATGTTCAGTCTTTGATTTCATATCAGTTCCACAGTCAAAGGTCTCAGTGATACCACTGGTGTAAAGCCAGGATGGTTCTACTGACTTTGTTAACATTAATCCTGTTTTATGCCAATATAAATAAAATCAGAATCTGAAAAAACCCCCACGAAAAAGACTTCTGCTATATTTCAAATTAATACAAATAGTATAATTTTAAATGCAAATTTAATGACAAATAGTTTGTCAAATTGTATCTCTCATTTCCTGATTAACACAGATTTGCGCACTACATCCATCTAATGATAGAGGCTACATTTTATGTAGTAATACAGTAGGTTAGCAGCTTGTCAAAAGATTCACATTTATGAGAAAGCAACCAAGTGAGAACATCTGTCCTTTATCAGTGATCTTGCAAAAATCAGGTAATTCAAACAGAGGCAAGTTGTTTCCTTCCCTTCCAAGCACAGTTCTATAAATGTAAACTGTATTCAGCAGCTTACAGCCTAGTAAATGAATCACTTTAATTGAATGCTATGTACACAGTAACTGGAAAAACACAAGCAATAAGAAAAGCATATGGTGATGGCAATAGAAATTGGTTTACTCATTTTGTACAGTGTTGTTTCTTTACTTCTTTCATAATTGACCTTTAGAAGGATAAATGTGTAAAATAATTTTGGTTTATTATGGCTCCAAACCTTTCAACAATTACACAAAATGAAAATCTAAAAGGAAGTATTCATTCTGGAAGCGTTTCCATTGTTTACATAATTGCACAGCTATAATTTAGTGTTCATGTTGTTCTGGAAAAGTGAAAAAAAGAAGAACCATTATGGACTATTTCAATTCCAAATGCTTTACTGTAGTGTCAAAAATGGGGAAAATATCCTGTTTATGCCAGTCTAAAATGGATTAACCCTATAATTGATAACATATTTCAATACAGAGTGTTCGTTCTACTGATGAATAAAACAACATCATATGGTCATCACCATCCTCTGAGTATGGGAAAAAATGTTTACGCAAGTTCACTACAAGGTCAGCTATAAAAATATTCTTCACTTAGTTTTGCCCAAGCTATTGCAGATTATAGGTGTAACAAAATAGCTTGCCATCTGTCTTTATCAGGTTTCCCAACTGTCCCTCATCAGGAACAAGCTGGGTACTTCACGAAAGTTCACCTTGTTCTTCAATGAGATATCACCAGGGACTGAAATTTACAAAAAGGAAACAGCCATATCAAAATTGATCTGTTTTGCTTCCAATTTTTAAAAGGAAAAATACTTCAATATGTTGCTTTGAGTTACTCAGAGAAGAGGTTTTTCTCTTTTTCCTTTTTCAGACTTTCAGTAGAGTTACTATATTGTCTGAACAGATAAATGATAAAACAGGCTGAATTTTTTAATAAAGGAACCCTCACTAGTCTAGCTACAATGACATTTTAGGGGTCTAAAACATTAATCTGTAAGATCTGAAGTTTAAACAAAAATGTATAAAGACTTAACTCACATGAAGCAAGAGGATTATTTTGATAGAAGAGCCATTAAAATTGGTGATTTAAAAGTATTATCAAAACAGTCATAGTCAGCTGTTATAAGGAATGGTGTTAAAATTATAAACATATATGGTAAATACTCTGAATCTGGCAACACACAGAAGCAACCCTGAGGAAAGAAGTGCTTAA